CTGTACCTGCAAGACAGATGCTTGTTCTTTTGGCAGTCCATGGTACTTCCAGCATTCTTGTCAGCACTAATGCAAATGCATACGTTCTTCTTTAGTCTTCCGTATTTAATGCCCAACTTTTACATGTATATGAGATGATTGAAAATACCATGGTTTGGGTCACGATGATTATTTGTAAGATGTTTAAGTCACTATAAAAACTTCACAGAGCAGCCGTCTTCCATATTCTTGCAAAGTCGAGCACAGAACAGCCGTCTTCCATATTCTTGCATATTTAATGCCCAACTTTTACATGTATATGAGATGATTGAAAATACCATGGTTTGGGTCATGATGATTATTTGTAAGATGTTTAAGTCACTATAAAAACTTCATAGAGCAGCCATCTTCCATATTCTTGCAAAGTCGAGCAGGATCAAAGGGGTTTGGTATATAGGGTGCTGATAGCCCTGTAACTGCTGACCGTCCTAGGAGTACTTGTGATGCGGTGCAGTGGCATTAAAGCATTCTGCTGCTGAAATGGTCATTTCAGTAATCAGTAAACGAGAGAACTAGTAGTTTGATAAAGCTGCTTTTAAATGGATGAAATGTATTTATCTTCCTTGACAATTTTATCAGCTATTACTTCCCAAGAAGCAGTACTGCTGTCCAGCATTCACAGTCTACACCTCCGTCAAGATACACCGTGACTTAACTGTGACCCGGCATTAGATCCAGACTCCGCCGCCATGAATAAGACCTGACTGGTCCAGAGCTGTTGGCCAGAGTCTTTTGGAAAGGATTGGGGATCTGGCAGTCTTCTGAGATACTCTGCTTTCTGAATTTGAATTTCATTGTTCTGGATGTATTACTTTGATTTGGTGCCTGTAATACAGGGATGCATGATTTGTTTGGGAAATTCTCCTGGCAGCTTGTCAGGGTCCTACTTTGCATAATATGCATAATAATAAAATTCTATTTCTAATGGCTTCAGTGCCTCAAGCTTCATTCCTCACTCACACCCACACACCGACCCACCCATATAGTTTTCTTCCGATCACCCAGGCTTTCTTTATAGAGGACAAGGCACCATGGACAAAGAGAAGATGACAGGTAAGACAGGGCAGCTCTGGGAAAGGGAAGCACCTTGGACCGGATGCAAGCTTCGTCAGGGAAGAGGCTGAGAGGTGAGATTCTTGATCCAGACCAAGAGGACTCCCCACTGCCCTTTCCTCCACTTCTCAGCATCATATCTGGAAGAAAACACATTAGCCCAGAGGTCTGTGAATGTAACTTAAGGAAAACCAGAGGATTTCTCTTTCACCACTCACGAAATCTAATCCATCCAAAATAACTGAAAATGTCACCAAGCCAGCCCAGAAAGACTAACTAGTGTTGGTGAGGGTACGGGACCAGGAGCCACCAGGAAAAGAGAATTGACTAGGTAGCCTGTAGTTTGTCTCTATTCTGTCCATGAAGTCTCTGGGCTGACTGCCCTCTTCCAGCCTGGTCTCTGTTGCCAAGAGGCCTTCGACACCAAAAGTGACAGAGGACCCTTCAGAAGCCTCTGCCCAGGCCCCTTGATTCAAGGAATTCTGAGCATGAGTGGCTAGGGTCTGAGAGCTGGAACCAGGGACTCACAAGGAACATGGTGCCAAAGGTCGAACTGTTTGACCCACCCATCAACAGGCGAGCATCTCAGAAGATCTATTCAGCCCCAAATTCACAGCTGCTTAATTTTTTCCTCCTAAATTTTTTGCATCCGTTTTCGCTGTCTCCTACCTACCACTTGTTACCACCAGCCTTTAACAACATTGTCCACCTCAGTTATAATAATAACCTGCATCTCCTGACTGGGGTCTTTGAGATTCTTCTACAGCTAGAGGCCGAATCCGAACCCTGGAAAGAGAATGTAGTGAAACCTAGCCTAGTCACTTGGTCAGTAGTCTTGCCGTCAGAAGCAACCAGAGGACAAAGTGCGGTGAAGGCTTGATGGGACATGGTGCAAAACCTACACGCCTGCTTTGAGAGGTGCACTGACTTCTGAGAGCAGAGACGTATCTAGCTGCGGGTGCGTCTAGTAGTTGAGCAGAGCAGCAGATGGCACCTCACTTGTAAAAGGCACATAGCCTGTGGGGCGAGACAAGGCTTTTGCACCGTTTGCGCTCTCATGCTTCAGCCGTGGGCGCCTTTTCTGTGCAGAGTGGCTGGGACATAACGCCTGTCTCCTGGGAAGCTGGGCCAGACAACGGAAGGAAATCAGGGAACCCCTGTAGTGCATCCTCCCTTAAACAGGCCCTCCTCAGCGGCAGCCTTCTTCAGTCTTCCTCTCCTCCTCTTCAGAGGCAGAATGCCGCCCTGCCATGCAGAGGCTGCATGCAAGCGAAAGGGGAAAGCTGTGCCTTGGCTACTCTGGCAAGGAGCAAGTGGTGACTGGTAGGCTCCTGGAAAGAGGAATTCACAGCTTTCTAGGTGTGTACTAGGAGGTAAATTGAGGGAGATGGTGGATATGTAACGTTTCACAGAAATCATCGTGAATGGGCATCAGGGCAGGGTTCTGAGTCTCGCAGCTTATAGCTTATTGGACCTCTCACATCTGATGTCTTTCAAGTTGGTCTGGTGCGATCTTTCCAGTGATTTTTGGTTCTTTGACCAAAATGCTTTTGTTCTGGGGTGACCTGAAGGTTGTGATTGCCCTTTCTTTCTGCACATGTTTGACAAGACAGGTCTGGGCATAACTGATGCTTGCTGCAGTGGGTTACCTTGCCAGAAGGGACAGGGCTCAAAAGAGGTCATCAGAAAGGGAAATAAAGGTTAATTATGGGCAATATATCTCTATCCTAAAACCAGTAGCAATATCACATAAGGGCAAGCTCCTTTGGGCAAGCTGTGGAATGTGCAACATTACGCAGGGCTGTGCTTGGGAATGGTCCCAGTGACAAGAGATGTCACTTCATGAGTTGTGGCTCATTTTTTCTGCAGGCTTATCTCTGAGCCCTCCAGCCTCCACTCTGGGTCAAGAGGACAATAAAGGATTTTAATCCCTGTAAGAGTCTTTTATGCTTTAAACTGCAGTATTAAAAGATTCTTGCTTATTGAGACAACGAAAAATAAGTCTATTAAAATTGTTCTATATGTAAAGCTTCCTGATTTTAATAAGCTGCTTTACGTTGTAGCAAACCTGCAAGTTACCTTTGATTATTATTTTGTGGCTCTACCAATCTACATGCTCCCACATTAGTTAAACCTCTAAGTGTGGCTCAAAACCATTTTAAAGCCTCAAATCATCTACTTTGCTGTCTCATACAAGTCTAAATTCACTCTGCCATTGCTCTGCTGTGATTTATAACCTGTTTCCCAAAGGCCTTAGCTCCTGCTATACCCTCTACTTGACTCTTCTCAATCCACTCCCCCACCTCCACCTCCTGTTGTCACCTATCAAACCTAGTCCTCTGTGAGCCCAGGAAAGACATTTTCTACATTCCCACAAAAACAGGATCTCTGTGTGCTTGATGGCTAGGTCTATGGCACTTATTTCGTCTTACCTCCTAGTACATCCATTGGTGTACTTAACCCCTGCATAGATACTAAGGCCTTTAGGAAAGCTTTCTCATTTACTTTTCATATGACACAGGTCAATTAGGAATTCAAATATTTGTTGAAATGGTGTGGGAATAACTGACTCGCAATTTAGGAAAAGTATTAGACTTCTACCATATGTTATCAGAAACTCCAGATGGCTCAAGCATTTAAATGTAAACTGAGAATACAGAAAGAGAAGTAATTTTTATGGTGTCTGACAAGCAATTACCCATGGAAGCTTCCCCTTGTCTTTCACTAAAATAGCCGGGATGTTAAGGTGGAGACTCAAAACTACTGAAAACAGACAACCTCGTATGCCAGAAGATGAGAGGAAACGATCCTCGCTACAAAGGAAGTTGAACTGAGATTTCCAGGAAACAAAGGCTGTTTAGAAATCTGGGTCCTTCAACAGCCAGTGAATGAGTAGCCATTTCAGCATGTCACTCAAGTTCCACTCTGAGGCTGTCCCATATCTCTGCCTTTCTGCAAGTAGAGTCCAGTTACCTCCTCTCTGCTTTGAACTCTGCCCTCCAGCCTTCTCGGAAATGCTAGCCTGTTAATTATACCTTCACTTTTATTTTTAACTTCTTTCTTTAAATTGGAACCTTCTCATTGACTTAAGGCCAGCTCTCTTCCATTTAAAAAAAGGTTCTCAATTTCTCATTCCCTTGTCACAGCCAAACCTCAGAACAGTTGTCCGCAATCACTGTTGTCATGGCTTTCCTCCCACTCCTCAATCCACTCCATTTTGACTCTGCTCGCTCTACCAAGAGAGTTCTTATTAAGACTACTAATGACCTCCCAAGTCCCTAAATCCACAGAACGTTTTCAGTTCTCATCTTGACTTCTCAGCAGAGTTCAATACTGTCAACCACTTCCCCCTTGTGAGACACTCTAGCCTTGGTGTCTGTGACAAGATAACTTTTCTAGGACAAAATAAGCTCCCAGAGTTTATATTATATGATCTTTGTACAATCTCTTGGTCCTACAATGTTTACATAACATTAAATGATGGAGTTTTCCAAGACTCATTCATAGAGTCTCCTCTCATATTCTGAACACTCTCCCAAGACTACTTCATTTGTGCACAAGTGAATCATCTCATATCTCTAGCCCAGTTATCTACTTTATATGCTAGGTCTATAAATCCAGTTGCCTACTTGACATTTTTTCTGAATATTTCAAAGTTACCTCAAACTTACATGCCCAAAATTCAATCAGTGATTAATTCTTTTTCTCCAAAAGATATCCATTTGTTTATGTAAATCAACAATGTAAAAATTGGCTTTAATGTTTCCCTCATTATCCATAAACTCAAAGACTTATATAACATCAAGCTCTAGCCATTTTTCTTTCTGAGTATCCCTTGGATTTATCCACTTTTCTCTGTATCCACCATCACTTTCAGATAGGCTATTGTATTTCACCTGGACAGCCACGTGAACCTCCTTTTCCCCAGTATTGACTCTAGCTTCCCAAAAAAATTGTTCTTAAAAGATTTCAGCCAAGTTGTCTTTTTAAAACAAAGTCTGTTCATGAAAAATTCAATGGTCCTTATTGATCTATGGATCAAAACCAGAATTAATTCTTTAAAAAAAAAAAACCAATTCTTTTTTTTTTTTAAGACCAGAATTCTTAAGATGACTCATTTTCTGCATCTTTCAATTGCCACATTGCAAACATTGTGGATAATAGAAAGTACACTCTTGTCCCTGCCAAGATGTCAAAATAACATGAGTTCCTCCAAAATTAACCTAGGAAAACTAAAAATGGAATAGTAAAATCCAGGAAATTATCAAACACAAAAACTGCCCGGGGAAATGGGCAGTGATTTGAATGAGTCTGTGGGGTGGTGGTGGAGGATTGTTCAACAAGAGATGTTCTGATCATGCTCTTCCCACACTTTCCCTCGGAGCCATTATTGACTGTAATCTTCCTGTAGGGATTTCAGGCTATAGCCCAGGTATTCACAGGGTAAAAGTTGGGGCGAGAATAGGAAAAAGAATCAATAGTCAATTCCAATTCATAGTGACCCTACAGGAAAGGGTAGAACTGCCCCTGTGAGTTTCTGAGACTAACTCTTACAGAGTAGAGAGCCCCATCTTTCTGGGGTAGAGCGGCTGGTGGTTTCATACTGCAGACCTTGTGGTTAGCAGCCCAACACAACCACTGCCCCACCAGAGCTCCACAGTAAAGTACAGTAGATACACTAAAAATATACTAGAGGTAAATATCACCAGTTTGAAACTAGTTCCAAAATAGTTACTGGAACTAAAACATGGTATATTAAACTTAAGAGAAACAATTTTGGCGAGTGAAAGACGTGTTTCCCTAAGGGTTGATCTAAAGATGGTCTTTCTAATATGATTCCAAACGAACCAAATCCAATGCCATCAGGTAGATTCCA